TAGGTGAGCTATCTCCCTTCAGATCCAGTGGGGAGAAGAGAAATTAAGTTTTCATTTTTTTTTCTTTTTTTTTTCTCCCAGCAACGCACTTCTGAAGCTGAAGGGACCCTGCGGTGCCAGTGTTCAGTCCTAGGTCTCCTGCCACGCAGGTTTACCCTCCTGAGGCGGAACAGAATTTCCTCTCACCATGTTTTCTTTTGTCTGTTCCATAAACACATAGGTGAAGTCTTAAGCTTTTGAAACTGCTGTTGCAATAGGGCTTACATGGACATAGAAGGGAATGTGATCACGATCAGGGTACTGGGGGGTTGAACTAAGGCCTGTTGCTCTGCATGCTAAACACATGTCCTCCCACAGAGTCCTGTTCTCAACCCTTTTAAGTCTTAGTGCATAGTGATAGTTTGTCTGTATTTTAACAAATAAAGCTTGCCTGAAGATCAGAGTGCACAACTAAGCCACTAGAGGCCAGAGAGTGGTGGCTCACACCTTTGATCCCAGGAGACAGAGGCAGACGAATCTCTGTTAGTTCAAGGCCACCCTGGTCTACATGAAATTAATCCGATCTATAAGAGAAACAACGCTCACACAACGGTCATCCCAGCACTTTGGATCCCACGCCTTTAATCCCAGGACTATGAAGGTGGAGACAGGAGAGATATGGCTGGGCAGAGAGAGGAATATAAGGTGGGAGGAGACAGAAGCTCACTGTAGTCTGAGGTTGCAGTCTGTAACATGAGGGCCAGCTTGTTGGGGTTTCTGTCCCACCCGGTACCCCACAACCGGCAAATCCCAAAGAAATAACAGAGTCTACATTAGGTTATAAACTGATTGGCCCATTAGCTCAGTCTTCGTATTAACTAATTCTACATCTTACGGTAATCCATAATTCTTGTCTATGTTAGCCACGTGGCTTGGTACCTTTTTCAGTTGTCAGCTCACATGTTGCCGATTAGGTGGTCTGCGCAGAAGTGGCGGAGGGAGTTTCCTCCTCCCTAGCCTTATCCTATTCTCATTGCCCCGCCTCTACTTCCTGTCTGGTTGACCTGCCTATACTTCCTGCCTGGCCAATCAGTGTTTTATTAAAATACATGATTGACAGAATACAGATAATTCTCCCGCACCAGCAGTCTGAGGACAGGATCGACCTTTGGGTCTGAGGATTCGGTAGCGGGGAGTGATTGTCTGCTCTCCTTCTCTGGCCCTTCAACTGTCATCCCCTAATGTCTGACTCTGGGTTTTTATTATTAAGAACAATTAGAATTCATCCTAAATTAGTGTACGAATAAGCCCTTAGTAAGTCCCCCATCCTGGCCTTGGACTTACCACGTAGCCTAGGCAAGCCTTGGGTTTTTGAACTTTGGCTTTCAGAAATCCTAGTAACTGGAATTAGTGCCATGCACCGCCATACTCCACCCTGACACCCTTCCTAAGATAGCGACCCACCTTTCAACCAGTGTTCCACACGCCATTACAAGTCAGGACCGTGCTCACGACCAAAATGAAACACCGGGGAGATGAGCCCGAGAAGCGTCTCTTCCCAACCACGCTAGGTGATGGGACTAGGCATCTACTCAAGATTTGATCATCTTTATCGTATTTACCTTAATTCACAGTCTCACAACTCTGGAGGGAATCAGGAATCAGAAAGAGACTCGCTTAAGGTTATCTCCTGGATCCCGAATCCTAATATGAGTCCATACCCCAGATCACTGGCCCAGTGTAGATTTTCAGCTCCACCATATTGCACGGCACTGGACGGACAGACTCTGTGATAGCTACTTTCTTTCAGTTGCCCACTAGACTAGATTGAAGAGTGCCTATGACATACTGAGGCACACTTTTGGGCATGTCCGTGAGGGCTCTTCCATAGAGGATTAACCGAGGGCAGGGAAGACCAACCTTGACTGTATTTGCCACCGTCTTGCTTGCTGGGGAACTGGACTGATTAAAAAGGGAAAGAGGCTTGAGACCCAGAACTCCACTCTCTGCTTCCAGACCTCCAGAGATAGAAGTAAGTGGCCTCCCACTCCGGCCACAGGAAGCCATTCCAACCATAAGACTCTATCTCGTGAGCCATGGTTGAAAATAAGCTCTTCCTCTTTTAAGTTGCTCTGGTCAAGTATTGGTCACAGCAGTGAGAAAAGCAACCAATACAGGCTGTTACATCCACAAAGAAAATCTGACACTTCTTGGCTCTATTTAATCTCCAATACACCTGGAAATGTTAGCACCCGAACACACAGTCTGAATTGCACCAGAGCATTCTGCCTTTCCTCAGAAGACACAGCTGCTACTGAGCTGAAGTAATCCCAAGCAAGCAGCCAGTCTTACAGAAAACTGGGCTTCTAAAATCCAGCCACAGCCTCCTGAAACATCGCCGTCAAAGTCATCAGATACGAAGCACCTGGGCACACTCCCTCAATTTTAGTCACTGCTGTACATGACTAGCTTAAGGCAAGGAGACCCTCTTCAATTTCTACTCCCATAGAACGTCCTGATGCTGCCTCAGAATTTTTCTTCACTGCCTTATTCTCTGACTAAGATTGAACTTCTTAAATCTTCATAGTACATGACTGAGAAGTAATGACCGACCTATTCAGGCAGAAATGACTGAGCTACATCAGCAGCCCACTGTATTCATGCGTTCAACCCGCAGTTCAAAAGTATTGGAGGACGGCGTTCTGTACTGAGATAGGTTTGTTTTCTGATTCATTTCCCCCTCCCAAATACTATACAATAACCATGTGCCTAACATTTGCAATACACTGGGTACTGCAAGGAATCTAGAAATAATTGGTATCTAGGAGGATGTGCAGGCTAAACCCAAATGCGGCATTTCACATAACGGAATTGAGCATCTGCAGGGTTTTGGTTTCAGAGGTGTCCTGGAACCAAGCACCATAGATGTGAAGGAAAGAGAGGAGACAGTAGTTTACATTCTCAACTTGACAGAACACTTGCTCTAAATTGTTTTAAATGAACAATTGTAGTTAAACTGGAGCTAAGTAATTCAAGCATACGGAATCCTTTTTAAATGTTCAGAAACAACACGCAGTCGGGGACTCCTTTATTAAAATACATATTTGTACTCTGACAAGTGACAGAAAAGATGGCAAACAAATGCTCGGCTGGTAGAGGAACTCAGACCCATAGCCACTCTACAGTGACCTTGTGGGAAATCGGAGCGGTGGGAAGGTATACCGAGATCTGGCAGAACCAGGAAAATAAAGCACTCTCAAGAAACACGTGAGGTAGCCATGGCCAGGGGGTCGTCATTTCAAGGACATAGTTTAATGAAGATAAATGCAAAGTCAGTTATTGCAGGTTGAAGGGTGTAACTTCTCAAACGTCTCAGACATCGCTGCTGTGGCTGGAGGGTGTGACTGAGATTCAGGGGCCAGAGGCACGCTGTTTGAAAACGGAGTGAGAAAACACATGCTTTTTTGGGAGGCACCTATGGTGGATCACAGCAAATGATGCGCGCTGGACGCCTCCCAAGGGACAGGAAAACTTCTCACCCTCAAGACAAAAGTCCCCGTCCTCTCGATTCTGCCCACGATCCAGCCCGTATCCTTGGCTACATCCATGCCCATCTCCAGGCAGAATGCTACGGAGGCGACATTAAGACACAATCCATCCCCTACGCTGCCAACGCAGCCCGCCCCTTTGCCAGACTCGCCTGCCCTGCCCGCCCCGCCCCCGCAGCCGGCACGGCCTCCATTCCCCAGACTTGCCGGGCGACGCACCGGCAGAGTTTTGATTGGCTCGGCCTAGCCTCCGTCATTTCTCTGCTGACCTGCGATTGGCTACTAGAGCGTGCGCAAGCGCAAACGCCCAGACCCGCCGTGATTCGGAGGGGGGCGTTGGCTCCGTCTAGGACTGGGTTCTCTCCTGATTGGCTAACGAGACGAGACGCCTTTTGACTGGTCAAGAATGGGAGCCCAGCGTACAGGAACGTGACCTGATTGGCCGCGGCGAAGCTAAGCTTCCGGGGAGACAGTCCCTCAGGCTGTTGCCGAGGTGTCCTGAGGTCTCCTTACCGTGACTGCCGGATCCGCGATCCAGGTTTTCCAGGCTCCCGCGGCTGCCTGTCAAGGTGTGGGAGGAGCTAGGCTTAGGGCGAACCCTGAGGGGGCGTGGCTAGAGGAAAGGGTGGGTGGGGCATTGCGACGTCATCGGGCGTCGACCGGGTCTGCGCGTGGCCCGGGCGCCGCCGCAGCCGAACACCGGGCTTCGGTGTGCTTCTGTACCTCTGGCGGCGGCCTCTCACGTCATCACGTTTAACGGGACAAAGCTAAAGCTCTGTCGACCGCCGGCCCGTTGTGGTGTCCCCAAGCACGGTGTCCCCACGGCCCCTTTCCCGTCACCTTCTGAGCGTGGGAGTCTGACGTCACCCGCCTGGGGGCGGGGACAAGAGCGCGCAGGCGCAGCTCGAGGACCTGCGGGGCTGGGTGTTGCCAGGCGTCTGTGGAACCAGTTTAGTAAAGCGCTGCACCGCTCCGGAGCGCGCGGCCGTCGCTAGGCGACGGCGGGAGAGGCGGGGCTTATCTTAGGTACCGCCCCATCCGCCTGGCCCCGCCCCTGTCAGCGCTGC